GGAGAGTCGTTTTTGGCAATTTGCTACCAATTTAGACGTCGCTCGGTAGGAGCCAGGAGCTTCCGTAATAAGAAAGGATTTTTAAATATTCCAAGGGGGGCAGCCGTGGGGTGCGTCCATAAAACAAAATTATATTTTCGTCACTGTTTATTCATGCCCTTCAATTTCCGTTGGATGAATTTATATTTACTATCAACATTGCACCCATGCGGAGCCGGGGCGGTTCGCTAGTGTCGGCATATACCAAATAAATGAGAACGAAATACTATTTCATTCATTTCAAGCCATAATTTTTTGTAACAATTTTTTCAGGCTACAGGACAACGACTAGGTTCAATTTTGCAGTCGATAACAACATTTGTGGTTGCTATTTCTCTTTCTCTGTATTACGATTATAGACTGGGATTAGTGACCGCGGCTTTCGTGCCATTTATGTTGCTCGCAATGTACGTCGAGAGACAGAACACAGCAGGACTGAGAAGTAACCGAGATCAAGCTCTCCAAAAATCCACGATGGTTTGTAATTTTTGCAAAACAGCTTTTACTATAACTATGGTCAGAAAATGTACTCTTTCACGGCCAGAAAACACTGTGTCATTGTTGATCGACATTTCATTTACATCTGCGGAGAGGTAGGACAAATCTGAAGACGACAGCCTACAAAATCAGAAAATAGGGTTGTCTCAATACAATGTCATCCCCAAAGTATGCACCATATGGGAAACTTCTTTATTAAGGGTTATCCGACAAAAATTTATTCTTGATAAAAGTTTGTGCATCTCCTAAAATAATTTTTAAAGTTTTTTGTGCAAAGTTATTTTTATTTTTTGTTAACACCGAAAATTACTCAAAATTATATAGTATTGTAACAAGAACTTAATATTCAATATCAAATGACATCAAAATAAAATAGGTATTTTGGAACAAACTCATAGATTTTCTGGAGATTATTTTGGAGAATTATTTTAGACAAGAAAATCTCCAGAAAATCAATGAGTTTGTTCCAAAATACCTATTTCATTTTGATGTTTTGTGATTTGATATTATTGAATATCAAGTTCTCGTTACAATATTGAATAATTTTGAGTACTTTTCGGTGTTAACAAACAATAAAAATAACTTTGCGCCAAACACTTTGAAAATTATATTACTCTTCGAAAAAATTGACCTTGGTTATCACTATAGTTGTGTAATTTGTAATACCACAAGCTTTTGAAATGAACCGTCGTATACAGGATGCTGTCTATTCATTGTTTTACCAAATTTTTTTTCGTAGGTAGTCCCTATTTAAAAAAAAATGGGTAAAAAAATAAAACTTCACTCAGATGGCCATGACTCCAAATCTAGATGAACAACTGAGCTGAACAACTTTTCGCAATAACATTTCCCAAAATTTTCCAAAATAAGGGTACTTTACTTTTGTCTTAAATCAAATATTTGAAGGCTCCTCGTACATTATGTGTGTTTAAATGAATTTTGTTAGAGCATGTTCAGTTTCAGGGAATGCACAAACTTTTATAAAGAATAACTTTTTGTCAAAAAATCTCTAATAAATAAGTTTCCCATATGGTGCATACTTAGGGGATGACAGTGTATATTTAGTTTATTCTTCCTCTTGAAAATGATCAGTTGGTGATCGGAACACATGTCGAAGTGTTGAAGATAACGGTTTGGTATTGGGATAAGACTCCAGTAATAGTCATTACTACACCAAAGGTTCCAAACAGTGCCAAGAGCTACTGTTTATTGACGAAACCCTGTGTAATCTACAAATTACATACTCATTGAAATCTTATATGATATAAAACAGCATAGTTCAGTACGCAATTTTTTTTATTTCATTTACAGGAAAAACATAAAACTGAAAATCACTTTCAGTAACCGCTTATTTGTATCAGTGTGAGCATTGCGCCTGAGCATCTTCAGAGCTAAATTAGCAAAATCAGGTTGCATATCTTAATGAGGATAGTGATTTCGAATTGTAGTGAAAGTNATTGCTGACGCCATTGCATTTGGATTCCAGGACGGAGGCACATCTTCACCGGCAGCAATTCACTGGCAATTCAATGCCACAAAAACCCATGCATCTGTTTTCTCCAACAAGATAAATGTTTTCGAATCGGATATAATAATGCCAGGACTGATAATTCCGCTTTCTGCTTCGATAAGTTTGTTGGGGGTTCAAATGGACACCAGTATGTCTTGGTACAATCAGGTCGCTGAAATTGCAAGGGCTGCTTCTCAAAAGCTTGGAACACTGTTCCGAACTAGGAAACTGTACACACCTCAGCAACTTTTGATGCTATATAAAGCTCAGATCAGACCTTCTTTAGAGTATTGTTCTCATGTATGGAGCTCCATCTCTTAGCATACCCTGAAGTTGCTGGATTCCATCCAGAAAAGAACCATCCGCCTGATTGGAGACGGAACATCACTCGCAACCTTGATAATCTGGAACATTGAAGAAAGGTTGGAGACGTGTCTCTCTTCCATAGATACTTTCGAGGAAGGTGTTCAAGTGACTTGGTATATTTGAATCCTTCAATAGCACATATCAGAAATTCGCGACGGATTGTGGCTGCTCATCGTTTTGAAGTTTAACTCAGTACACCTCGAACTTCGTTGTTTAAGAACTCTTTCATTTGGAGAACTGCGTTTATGTGGAATAAACTTTCTGGGAACGGTGTTCCAAATGGATTCAGTCACCTGCGACTCAAATCCAATGTAAATCGCTACTTCTGCACAAGCACCGCTCTTAGAGCACCTTAAAGATTTTCGTGTAGTTTTGTTTGTGTTTTGTCCTTGACAAAAAATTACATTCATTCGCTTATTTGATTGAATTTTAGCCATAGGAATCGCTGGAGATTGAATCCATTTAGAAAAACGTTCTCAGGAAGTTTATTCCACATAAACGCAATCCTCCAAATGAAAGAGTTCTTAAACAGTGACGTGCGAGGTGTATTGAGTTGAACCTCAAAACGATGAGCAGCCACAGTCCGTCGAAATTTCTGATATGTACCGCTCTTGGTTGAATCAAATGTTCCAAGTCACTTGAACACTTCCCGTAAAGGTATCTACAGAAGAGAGACAAATCTCCAACCTTTCTTCGATGTTCCAGACTATTGAGGTTGCAAGTGATGTTCATGTCTCCAATCAGGCATATGGCTCTTTTCTGGATGGAATCTATTCATGAATATTATCCAGATTGGTGTTGAAGAGGCAAGTGTCTTATCTCGAAACATCGAATACCTGCCATTGAGGATGGCAGTGTTCCATATGAGTGAAATTTTATCTCTATAGTATGTAACAATCCTGTGAATGATATCTGATTCAATTTCATAAAATGTTTGAGATACAAACTGAATAGGAAAAATAGCTGATGGAACTGGATGAAATGACAAGTGAGTGTAATGTAACTTTTATTACTGTCAAAAGTCCATATATCAGTGGTAACAGAAACACTTGGTATATCATCAAGTATGATCTTCACTTTCGAAACACCTTGAGAATAAAGATTTGGAATAATATCGTACTAGGAAGCCTATATTGTGGTCGTAAAAAATTCGTAAATTCAAGAAATCCTTCATCTTCCACAATCGACAGGGGTTGATAATCCTTCGTTATCATCTTCGCCAAGGCATTATCAAGTTTTTGAATGTCACTGTCTTTCAGATTATTACTTGGAGCTACAACAATTTTCATTTGCCTCACTTTCTGCCGCTTTGCAGGGGTTGTAGATTTGAACTACCCGAAACGACGGAAGACGGTCCTGCAATTGACACTATCAGTGACTTCTGAATTTAATGAAGTAAGGGTAGGGTGAATACGCTTCACATGTTGATTCAAGTTTGTTGTATTACCAAAGAATTTCAAATGTTTTTTGCAAATACGACATTGAACTTCACTATTCTCCACTTTATCGAAATTATCCAAAACGGAAAATTTTTCAGTTCTCAATTGACACTCAAATAATAATAACAAAAATAGCAATAACGTTAAACAACAACAGCGGGAAAAATAACAATACTAGGTAACATCAAATAAAATACGAATAAGTAAGGAAGTTCGCTGAAACGTAGCAACTGTTTTGAATATTTCATCCAAACTGAAAAATAAAATATAAAATCTATCGCCTCTATATTACTTCACCCATTCCGCTTTCCTCTAAATGCGACAAAAATTATAACTTCTATCTAATGCAGGGGCAGGGGCAGGGGTGTAGAGGGAAAACAAGTCGCACATCATGCACGACGCACTAACAGCCTAACGATTATGGACATACGGGATTGCTTACTTTTGCAAATTTGTTAGACACGTCACGTGATCTTGTGACGTAACAGTGGTGATTCTGGATTGATTCGGTACTGCACTTGTTACGTTGATTTTTGACACTGGCCATTATTTAATAATACTCTCTTTACTATAAAGGTATATTGATTTATTTTGCATATTATGTATATACTTTATCAAATGTTTTACTTGATACAGCCTTCTATGATCATCCAGTATGGTGGGTATGCTTATTGAATTCGTGGTTGTATGTCTGGTCGGTAAATTAATTTAACTTCAACACGTAACCACACGTTATAGTGTAACCTTGCGAGCATATCCTTCCTTAAGTGGTCTTAGCTTTAGTAGTCGAATCACCCTAAACTATTCGACGACTTGAAGTGTGGTAGTTTATTCGATGCATTTCTTAGAGGACCCGTAAAAATTTAAATGATGTTTTTCGAAAAGCTTGTTCCACTTTTTAATTTCTTCAAACCAATCTGTGGGTTTATTATAACCTCCCAATGAAAGTTGCTGGACCCAAGAAGGTATCATGAAGGTAATTATGATCTTCTGCTTTCATTTTATAGGCATAATCGCCCAAACCAGGTAGATCATACTTATGCTTTTTAGCAAAGTATCCAGCAATATATTCTGAATAGTCCTCTGTTATTTCTGGAATATTTGTGTTTGAAATTGAAGGAATGTTAGTAGAAATGTTAGATCTACTAGATGAAAATGAGCTACTGCCATTTGATTCTATTGTCTGCTCTCAAATCGTGTCTGCGTCAATTTCCATTTCCACCTTTTTCCATGACTCTTGGAGTAATATATTCTTCTATTGTCGGTTCTTCAGTATTGACTATAGCCTGGAGGATGGTAGAATTTTTTCCCAGAATGATCATTCTGATTCGGTACATTACTTCTAATGGACTACGATGTTCATTTGGACCACGGCTTCTAATTTGAGAAAATCCATTTTTGAGCGACGAATCCATTCTTTTTGCAAAGATGTGGAAACCATATTCTTAGCAATAGGAAAAGAGTGAAATATTACATCAGTAACACCACTTTTCTTTAAAGTCAACTGATTGCTTTTGCAAGATAACATTGCACAAATACGACCAGGCGTTTTAACTAAAAATTACAAAGTTATTTAATGGTTAGACAATCATTGCTATTACTTACAAAAATGTGAATATTTCCAATTTTTACCTTAATTCAATTCAAAAATATTCAAAAAACAAAAAAAATTCCACAATGGCAAAAAACAAACCTCAAAACGGAAGAAAATAACAGAGTCTTGTATGGCGTCTACACGTTACATCAGTTTGAAAAATGTCCAAAAACAAAAAATTCCACAATGGCAAAAAACAAACCTCAAAACGGAAGAAAGTAACAGAGTCTTGTATGGCGTCTACACGTTACATCAGTTTGAAAAATGTCCAAAAACACAAAAAAAATACGACTTTCACAATAACAAACTCGATGTTTCAGAAACCTAATTAGTATAATTAAATAAAAATTTTATCAAAATAACAAAAACAATGTAATACTGTCCGAAAATAATCCTCAAAAAATGTTAAAATTACACAGTCTTACGGCAGCTACTGAAAGTGTCACCAGTGTTACGTCACATCTGCTCGGCGCTTGTTTAACGTGGCAATATAGAAAGTAAGCAATCCTGTATGTCCATAGTCGTTGACTAGTCGTTGCGTGCAGCCTGCCACTTGCCCATAGACAATCGACATCGAATATAAAAGGTTTGTTTGTTTAATACATATCTGAACGCTCGATTAACTCGCTCCGCTCGGGAAACACAATGGCAAAAAACAAACCTCAAAACGGAAGAAAATAACAGAGTCTTATATGGCGTCTACTCGTTACACCAGTATAAAAAAGGTCCAAAAGCACAAAAAAATACGACTTTCACAATAACAAACTCAATGTTTCAGAAACCTAATTGGTATAGTTAAATGAAAATTCAATCAAAATAAACAAAAACAATGTAATACTGTCCGAAAATAATCCTCAAAAAATGTTAAAATAACACACAGTCTTATGGCAGCTAATAAAAGTATCACCAATGTTACATCAAATCTGCTCGGCGCTTGTTTAACGTGGCGATATATGTAAGTAAGCAATCCTGTACATATATAATCGTTGGACTCTTTTAGAGTATTGGTAAATGGGATGTTTCTTCCCCGCGGACTATTACTAGTTGATAATTTTTCTCTTAGACAAAGGTTTCATACATGCAGTTGAACCGCGTTGAGATGGATCTTTCCTGCACTGATGATAGGTAATACCTCGAAACCGGCCTGAAGGAGACCCACTCGAATAATTTCAGCTTAGCTGGATGAACGAGAAACATCTGCAAGGCTGACCTCTTTGAGATATCTTGCATAAATATCTGTCAAATATAATTCAATATCAGCGTGGTATTAGCCAGGAAAGTAGTTGTTTTCTGGCAGGTATTTACCAGAACCTACGGAGTAGGTAGGTAAGTAGGTAAGTCTAAAGTGAGTGGGTCTATTCTATAAACCCAGCTTCTCAACAAAGCCGATTAGTTTGTATGGTTGGTGGTCTTTCAGGTCAGATGGTGAGGGTACGGATCTGCCGAACTCAAAGAACCTGATTCGGTCCCAGCGGGGCAGGCACAAAGTATATGCTCTGCAGTTTCATCATTTTCCAGACAGAGGTGACACGCACTGTCTTCCGACAGTCCAAGTCTCTGCATGTGATGATTCAAATGACAGTCCAACAGCTGTTTGGAGTCAAGCTTTGAAGGGTGAATAAACGCCTTGGAGTAAGCCAATCCTGGAAGATTCTGCTAGAAGTCCATAACTCTTCTTGCCATCCAGGTGTTCAGTGTTTGTTTGGCAAAGCCTAAAGCGATGCCAATGACAGGTTCTGGTTCGAAGAAGCTATTTGCAGCACCCTCCTTTGCAAGAGAGTCAGCAGCCTCATTGCCTTCCACGCCAGTATGACCAGGAATACAGACCAGAGTCAATCTGTTAAGTCTTCCTATCAAGGAGAGTCGTTTTTGGCAATTTGCTACCAATTTAGACGTCGCTCGGTAGGAGCCAGGAGCTTCCAACGCCGCTTGACCATTCAAGAATATTTTTATTGACTTGTGTATGAGGTTGGATTCTTCCAATTTTTCCGCACACAATTCAATAGCGGACATTTACGCTTGAAATACAGTCGCATAGGTTCCCACCTGCACCAGAACCGGAAGGTGTTTTTGATTCATCTGTGAACTATCTGCTCCTAATATATACACTGTGTCCGTAAAGTATGGAACAAATTCATTTTTAGCTAAACAGGTCATTTTAAGAAATAATCCTGAAACACGTCGATTTTTGATGTTAATTTACCGTATTTTAAAATAATAATCTAATATACAGGGTGAATTACGTTCGAGTAATGACGTCACCGTCATTTTTTTTAAATGGAACACCCCCATTTTGTCTCAATTTTCGGATTACTCTAGCTGAGCTGATTCCAAAAATGTATCACATGTTGATTCCAATTGGTACAGGGTGGACAAAAATACAGTAGTTGTGTGTGTGCTAATAAAGTAACGCGTAACATTCTTTATTAGGTAAATTAACAATATTATCA